GTTATGAAGAAAAGGATGAAGACTAAAAACTCCTCTGTTTCTCAGTTTTACAGAATATAGTGTGTGCCCTCAATCTGGCAATGTCCCCGGAGAGTACAAGGACTGGCCGCTAATGCCGTGGTCAGGGCGGCTGGTACACATCCCGCTCCAGCGTCCAGCTGGGACACCGCCAGCAAGGCCGCACGAGTGCTGAGAAAGGCTCGTGGATCCCACAGCTTAGGTAAAGATTTAGACTAAGCAGCATAATGTGGTTGAATGTTCATGTGACCGTGAAACTTGGGCTTCAGTCTCTGCCCTACGGCATGTTTATTGCCAGCCGTGATTGAGGCTGCCTGTGGTGTTTACAGCCTGGAGCGTGCTGACTCGGTGCCCAGTCATCAGGCTGATGATCTATAACTGAAGTTAAACAGCTATAGTTCCAGCTATAGACTCAGCTGCTCTCTAAACTTTTCTGTTTGTCTGCCAGGTTGAACATGGAAGGCCTGCTCATTTCCAAGAGTACTCACTGTCATAATGAAGCCAGATTTTGGTAGTCATTATTGAATTATGCTTTTATTTTCTTAAGCTTGGCTCTTCTTGTTCCCTAGCAACATTGCTATCAGTGCTGCTGGCAGCAGCTGCTTCTCATTGTGTTCAGCCAGCTGTTTATTGTGAACAGGCCTCTAAACCATGTTTAACTCTGAAAATAACTGAGTTGCCTTAGTGACAGGCAATTTATAAACTCATCCTTAAGATTGTGCAGGACTCCGGAGTGGATCAGCAGTTCACCTCATAGGTCCTATTGTTAACCTAAGAATTTGTAGTGCGATTTGTACAGTCAACAAAGCTTGAGTTGTCTAATTGTGTATGTGCTTGAAAATGAGAAATGTTAACTCAGTTGTGCAGTAAAAGAGCCCAGTGTTGAGCCCAGCAAATAACAAGTTCTGTTATTAAGAGAAATGGAGTTCAGCAGTCGGTCATGCTGAAGAGGAAAAGTTCTGTTTCAGCTTGGCAGCCTGGTTTTGTTACATGATCCCAGTGCTATCCACAGGTACTTCCAATTACTGTAGCGTATCTAAAGAAATGGATGTTTATTTATATGACCAAAATACACTGCAAAGTAAATTAGCTTTAGAACTGCAAGCTGATTTCTGTATATAATTGTACATGGAAATGAGTCATATTTCCATTTAAAGATTTTCCCAGGGAATGTATACACAAATAAAACTGATACAGTGCCCAACACACAAAAGTAGCTAAAAAACAATACTACAAATTGGAGTTCCACCTTCATTATAGTAAAAAAAAGGTTTAAGCATTTGCCTAGGAAGAACCGTAATAGTACTGTATTGGACTACATTGAACATTGAACCAGGAAAAAAGCAACACAGCTCCTGTAAGGAAAGTCAGTTTGCATCTTTCAAAGCTGGTGTATTTTTGCAAATGTTGGTTAAAAAAAAAATTAAAAAAAATTGACAGGCTAGGGTTCGTCATGCCTAAATTTAGGCAACGGAGGCACTTAGATTTGTTGTTGCTCTACAGTCTTTATGCAATCAAGAGAGAGAAGTGGGCTGATTCGCCCTTGAAGCTGCCCGTTGACTGCAGAGGAGGTTGAAGATCACTATTTTCTTAAGTGATGTGACTCAGTCATTTTCCTCCTAAGAGAAGTAAATTACAGCAAAAGAGGAAAACTTGGGGTCTGATTTTCTCAATGCAGAATTAGTGAAATTTACCTGTGGCTAGCACAGGGATCACGTAACAAAATTAACATACAACTTAGAATAAACCTTAAGCAAGCAAGAGATTGCTCTGACATCGTGAACAGGTCTGATTTCTAATATTATGAGTGAAGTCTCCTGATACTCATTAGGATTTCCTCATGTCCACAGTTTTTAAATAAGAGTTTCAGAGTAAGACTAAAACTGGAACAAAAAGTGAATGACCATTAGTCAAAAGTTAATATTGGGATTTTCTAGCTGTGGTTACTGGGATAATGTATTTGTCAACAATTTAAAGAAAGGACCCCGATTTTTTCAGCTGCCACACCAGAAGGGCTAGTGCTGCAACATGGGCTATAGTTCACAATCCCTCTATGTTCAGTTACAGGAACGGAAGCATTTTTCCCCGAAGAGACTGCTGCTTTCAGTTTTGAAGTGCAACTCATCAAAGGAGGTCCTTTGTGGAAAGAGTTTTCTAGTCTCAAAAAGCAGGAAAGTTTAGTTCCAGAGACTAAGTCAAGAGTGAAAAAAATTATATTCTGCTTTAAGAATGAAAACAAAGATTCTTGCAGCATTATAGAAAACATTTAGTACGAAAAGATGACAGATATATCCTAAAAAATAAAAAAAAAAACAAACCAAAAAACCTAAATATTATATGTTCTCCAGTTTTATAATACATAGATATTCTTACTCTTTAAAGTGATCAAAGATTACAAATCTAAGACATTTAATTTTAATTTAAACCTGTACACATTAAATGTAGAATACTTAAACCAGTTAGAAAATAATAGAAGTTTTTTCTTCCAAAATAACAGATCATGAGAAAAACAGACGTGAAAATTTATTTAGACTAAATTAGGATGTTAAAAATTCTATAATATTGACCCATGTAATTTATTGCCAGTACTTCTCATAGGACTAATATTTTCCTTGAAGTCTCGGGTAAATATAGTACACATATGCTGAAGTAACTGGAAAAAATGCAAAAGGAAGGATTCAATCTGATAAAGCAATTTCTATGTTGGCACTGATTGCAGCTTGGTTTTCAATCATCTTTGGGCCCTTTTTTTTTTTTCCCAAGTGTACCTTCTCGGTACAATTTCTGCTGCAGAAAAAAAGCCATGCAATTCTCGGGACGTAATTCTTCCCTAGATCGTGTCAGATGGGTCAGCTAGAGCAGTTGTCTGGCATTCAGACTCCTGTCACAGAAGTAAATGGAGCAATCCAGACTGAAGGGCCAAACCTGGCCGTAAGACTGATTATTACGATGATGTTCTGATGAAATGTACGATTCTTCTCCATTTTGCCCCTGTATCAAGTATAGCCTGTTACTTCCTTCTTCCATAGGAAAACACAGTAAGAATTAGAATATTACATTCTTTATTGTTTGCTCTTTGACCTTTTATTGTTCTTTCTGAATAGAACTAAAGGGTCTGAGGAATTAGTTACACTAAGTGCTGATAATGAGATTTTATGTATCGGAGTGTGGAGAGAGAGCTCCTGAGAGCCAAAAGATTTTCCCACCATTGTAAATACCAGTATACAACTTCATGCTAATTCTGTACCTTCTTGCTTGCATTTGTCTGTTGAGCTAGGAAAGACTGCATACATGCGTGAGCAGAGACTTTGAACTCTCTGCACAACTGGACTCATGAATATGTGCACTTTTAGCTTTTTCCAGAATACCACATAATACAAAGATCAGGAACACAATGGCACTGTGATAATGCAAGTTCCTGTGTTAATCCCAAATGCCAGATACTAACTTTTTTTAGGAATGCATTTAGAGAGTTCTCAATGCCATTTGGTAGAAAATAAATTTTTTCCTAGTTTCTTCCGGTTGGTTTTGGGCTTTTTTTGTTTGTTGGTTTTTTGTTTTTAAGAGACTGATTCGGTAGTGGAACAGCTGCTGACTGTGGCAGACGTGGTAACTGAGTGCTTCTTAACTTTCTTCTCCCTTCCAAAAGACAAATGTCTACTAGCAAAAAACCAATGGGCACACCTTTTACTGAATAGGTAAAGTAAATGCAGATATTATCCTCTTTGGATTACTGTTCAGGTATTAGTTCCATATGTAAAAATGTACAAATGAAGTGGAGGATGGGAGAAAAAGGCTGAGCCCTTGCAAAGCATGCAAGAAAAAATACGCAACACTCACTTCAGAACATTATAACAAAATGAGCTAGTGTATTTTATTTTGGGTAACAGCCAAGAAATCTGACATTTTGCCCAATATGGCTTTCTTCTAAAATTAAAAAGTTGCATATACCTACAGTTGAGTCCACCAGCTACAGAAAATCTGCTGTATACATCTTTAATCCATGGCAGCATCACCAGAATACAGCTTTCAGTGGAGTTTTCAAGCTGAATTATAAGATAGAAGTTTTAAAACGTTCATTTAGAAGATTTTATATTGTTGATATGAAAACATACAAATTTTTCATTTATACATATACTACATATAAAACTCATTGTAATTAGCAAGTATCTTCATCTGGGTATTTACCTTTGTGCATATAGCAAAAAAAGGATGTAGTCAGGGCTTCAGATGAAATATTAAAGTTCAAGACCTTTGTATATGCTAACTAAAACCTTATTCAAATAACTCAAACATTTTTCCTGCTTTTAAAAGATAAGAGATTCAGCTTAAAAATACATTCAGAAAACAAAGAGACAATTTTCTCCCTGAGACTACCAGTGTGAGTTATGTTGTGGTAATCTTTGAATGAAAAAATATTAAAAAGACAAAAAGCTCTAGTTTTCTATATGCTGCAGCAAATTTCTTGAGCAACACTGGCATCATAAAAGGTGTAGACTGAAGAATCATGCTCACTAGCTGAAAAAACATTTTCATAATCAGTTTAAGAAGCAGCAAAAACTTCAATGTAGACAAGGGAAGGTAATTAAGTTTTAATGAAAGATCTGTATCTGTAGTATGTATAAATGGGAAAAAGTTGGGTGGCCGGTTTTAGTTGTTTGGTTTTTGGTTTTTTTTTTTCATTTCAGACATTAATTTTATCCAAAGCAGGACTATATGCTCAAAATGTAGATTCTTGATTTATGCAGAGATACTGTAGTATTTCAATGTTTCAAGCATGTTTTTGTTAATATTCATAAAAGAAATACATAACTTGTAGGAACAGTTTCTACTTAAATTCAATGATAAAATGTTTGATTACAACTAGATGGCAAAATCTCATGAGCAACAGGTAAGGAGCCAGCCCCCCCCAATGAACAGCTCCTGGTTTGTGGCTTTTTTCATCCTCTTGTCAAAATTACTCTGCTCTGAAGGCTAGCAGCTACACTAGTTTTGATTTATTTCACATTCTTCCTTTTAAATGTTAGAAAGAGGCAGTTTTAAAACTGCTGCAAAGTAACAGAATAGAATTGGGACACATTAAACATATCCTGCCCAAACTGGAGAGAGAGCAAGATACATATACTTTTTCCCTTTACAATTTAAATTGTATTTATAGTAACCATGCAATCACATTATTTTGGGGGGAAAAGCCTTACCTGAAATCAAAGAAAAAACATTTGTAGGAAAAAGGTGGAAAGCATTATGTTTGTTCTACCAAAATTTATTATGTAGTAATTACAAAGTTTAAAGATTCTTCCATTTTAAATAAAAATAATAGTTATAATTACACGCATTATATAGTACCATGTCAAGTGATTCCAACAAATATAACATGAAATACAGTGCAGTTTCAAATCAGAAAGACAAATACTTTCTCATTCACAGTGTTTGACAAATTACAGGAAAGCTTGTTCACATGAGGGTTTACTTAAGGTCATGCTCTTATAAACAGTCCACATCACGCTGTGCCACAAAAACAAATCATCTCTCAGAACGTGAAGTATCGGGCAAACCACTCCTGGCGTTGTGCATCTGGTGAAGCCACTGGTGAAGCGTCAGTCTGAGGAGGGCTAAATTCACAGAAAGAAAAAAAAAAACAGTTATCCCACAACTACACAAAAAGTGCAAATGTTAGGAGAAAAAAAAAAATCAGAGAGAACATTCAGTAAAGAACACAGTCTGTTTTTCCATGGGTTAATTATCGGTGTGCCTCAGGACATGATTTAGTGTCTCCCTACAGAATCTGTGATCATCCACTCCATTGGAGAGCATCAGCAGCACGGACAAGTCAGTTCGGAAGCCACATTACAGGGTGGGCAAATAATATTTTGGAAAACATAATTTAAAATCTCATAAACAGCTGTAGGTTTTCAGGACGAATAAAAAGGGTTTTCTTGGAAGAGCATGACTGTAGAAGGTCCTCTTTTAGCATCCTTTTCCTGTGGTAAAGTTAATTTTCAAAAATATGATGCGAGCATCATATTTGTAGGCATGTGCTCACAAAGACTGGTTGGCAACTGAACAAAAATACACACTATTTTAATGCTTAACACCGATCACAAATATCACCTGCATTGTTGTTCATGCACACATTTAAAATATGCTAATATACTAAGAAAAAAGAAACTGCTGCACTGCAAACAAGGTTTGTTTCCCCCTTGAACACTTAAAATTCTCACGAAATGAGCAAGAGAGAATATTTTTAATTTAAATTTAATTACACAATTAAGTTCCTTTATCAGTAAAAATCAGTAATAAAATAGTCCCTCCTGTATTACTGGATAATACAGAGCACAAAACAATTTGGAATGGAAACTCCAGCATCACAGTCCATAAGTTCATGCACATGCATGCGTTAGATATCTGAGCACACTCATGCACATCACATGCACAGGAAAAAATAAGCAAGAGTATTTTTTTAAAAAAGATTGTTTTCTTGAAATAGACTGTTTTCCCTTATCTATTTTAGATTCTATTATTTGTTTCCTTTTATAATTAGTAGTTGCGAGGTATGTGGTCTTTCGCATTAAACCAAAAGAGAGAGTAAACAACCAACTGTGGAACTGGTAATTACACGTTGCTTTAAGTTGCCAACTTAGAGGTAAGAGATCAGCACCTACTAAATACAGAATACAGCGCTTCAGTGCATTTAATATGTAGGCACATAAAGCCAAAAGATTAAAATCCTGCCTCTAAAATGCCATTTTTATGTTATTCAATTCACCATATTATTTTGCGAGAGAATTACTTGAGACTTTAATGCTGGCTTTGATTACTGGAAGTTCAGCATTAAGCATCCAAGCATGCACATTTCCTGCTGCTGTAGTAAGGTTACTCCTATGAAACAATTTGATAACAGGTGAGGAAAGGGGAAACACAAAACATTCGTGTAGCACAGAAAATAAGTTTTCTTACATAAAAACCATTATCACATAATACCAAAGAAAAGAAATTGTGTGCTAGTATCGGTTCCTAAATGACAATCAGTAAATAACACAAACGTTTAAAACAATTGTTCATATATGTAAACAATTGGAAGCACATGAGTTCTGTTAAAGTATCTAAAGAGGTTTTCAAAGTTCAAGACTTAGGAAAAAGTGAGAGACTACTTCACATTTCAACAAGGTCTACAATAAAAAGGAATACTATAAAGAGGTTACAAATATAATGTAAAAATTAAAAATGCCATAAGAATACTTGTACCTCTGAAAGGTTGATAAAGCAAGTGGGATTCAGCTCAATAGGAATACAAAATTTTCCTAAGTAAAAAAAAAAAAAAGAAAAAAATAGATTGGTGAGGCAGTGCTCACCTCAAAAACGTCTTGGGCTCTTTGGGTGGCATTGGCTGTGGTAGTGGTTTGCTGCTGTTGAACTCAATATCGTGGATGGGTGAGTTAGGAATGGGGTCCAGGCGGTTAGGATGTCCATTGCCCACCACTCCGCTAGATTCCAGAGCACTTAGATTGGGGACACTCACAAACCTGTTTGTTGATTTATCGTTCTTCTTCTTTTGCTGCATTAAAAATAACAAATGTAAGGAAGGCTTCTTGCACCAGGACAGATGAGGAAATTTGCAAATTTAAAAGCTGTATTGATGGCTGGTTTGGGGTTTTTTTGAAGGAGAGCAATTGGGACAGATTAGGCTTTTTTTCCAATTGTAGTTTTACTATGTGCTTTGACCAGAACCGAACACCACAAATTTTCACAGAAAAATCGAATTTCTGATCAAGATGATTAAGTTATTAAGACTTAGTGTAATAATCAATGAATATATTATATGCAATCTTCCAATATAACATTTTGCTGTGTTTAAGACATTGGAGATAGGAAGTTTTCCACAAAATTGTCATTTAGTCGTTAAACCTTTCACGTTTACTTAAATCCTTTCTCGTTATCAGTGAAACAGCTCTGCTGTCAAATGTAATTACAGCAAATTTCAATGACAAAAAAAGTTAATCTCTCCAACAGGTTTCACCCCATCACTGAGGCACCTTTTGGTAACTGGAACATGGAACCTAACAGCTACATTTCTTTTAAAGCAATTATGCCCTCCTAGTTAGCAAGCTTTATAGCAAGACTGCTAAAGATAAGAGGTTATTGTATAGGAGTTCGGTTTCTTGCACAAGGAAAAGGACAGGCTTCTAATGCTACTACAGCTGCCACTTCTAGACACCAGATGGCACAACTGAACACTTTTCTTTTCCTAATACTCTCTATACCCCTACTGATAGTATTTGAAGGGACTCAAAATACTGAAGAATTTTGTTTTTATATCACTATGTTACTCTCCATAACACATCATATAGAAGAATCGATATTTATCCTCTCTACTTTTATGATATTTTAATGTAGAAGGATGCTTCAGATAATTCTATAGCTTTTTAAAAATAGCTGTGTGGCAGGACGCCATGTGTATTTTCTGACTTCTATCAAATATTCCATGTCCACAATAAAATATTAATATTAAAAAAGCCTTATTGCAAAAAATAGTTTTTTTGAATGAATGGATTCATTTGTTCTCATGAATTATGTATTATTTGAATATATAATAAATACTTCCATTCAATTACATATATGCAACCCTAACAAAGCAGCTAGGAGAAAAACCCCTTAAGGACTTATGAACTACACAAATTTGAACTAAATAAAGTGAAAGACAAGTGGAATATCATGTTGTTTCTATATAATATTTTCCAGGAGAATTCCACTTGAAACAGAAGAGCTGCTCTGTTCAAGGGTGGGCATGAGACAGACAGAGTCCTATTGTTTGTTTCTACTTTCTTCTGTTTAGCCCTCTGCTAGCTTTGATTTTGGCGCCTGACCTCTCCAGGGTTGGCAGATGCAAATGCTGCTAACTGTAGCCACACTAGTGGTTGTGTTTGCCAAAATACAATTAAAAAACCCCAACAATTTAACAGAAAGCTATAACAGAAAAAAGTCTTTTTTTTAAGCATCACAGTGAAAAATAATGAGCTGGAAAGGATTAAACTGAGATCATCCCATACACTTTACTTCTTTTGTAGTAGCTGAAGAAGCAAGAAATAACATTATGGTGGAAAAAGTAGTTTGGTAAAAGTAACCAACTGTATGGAAAATACATCTGTGAGGTAATATACACTGTAATGAAAACTGTCTGTTAAACACACTGTAGTTAAATCTGTGTGCTTCATAGGTGGCTCATTTCTAGAAAATGTGTATTATCCACATAAGTGCTTAGAAAAATACTACAGTTTATATCTTATTCTCTGTAAAACAATCTATGCTTCTGAAGCAGTCAAATCTGGAGAGACAAAATTGTGTGTATTGTTTCCATGAAATTCATGCAAAGTATTAAGAAACTTCAGATGTAACAATGTAATACAGATCCATTGCATAAATTAGAGAAGCTGTAATACATACTGCAATGGCTGTAATTTTGCATTAATATGCAAAGCCTTTAGTAACTCATAAGTTCTGTCTTTTTATTACAAAAAAGAAAAGAGAATGAGATTTTCAGTTTCTTTGTAATTCATTCTCCAATAACACAGTACATGCTTTGACAAAATAAAGCAACATAGTCCACAACTCATGAAATGAGAGATCAAAACGTTCTGGCATACAAGACGGTTTTAAAGTCTAAACAGTTTTAAGTGATAGCAGCATATTACAAAAATATATGAATTATCACTATGGAAATCTGATGTTGAAGTACTTTTCCCAAACACTTCAGATTTCACACAAAACACAAGCTTATATACTTGATGGTTACATTTCACATCTTTATAAATGAGTGGTTCAGACAAACTTCCAAAATTTTCCAACAACCTTTATCACATAAAAACAAGGCATTCAAATTGTATCTGGCAGTCCTGGTATTGTCTCTACTGGGCCCAAACTAAGTTCTTTTATGCAGTTATGCATAAAGGCTAGGCATCCGCAGATAAGCTTGTGAGAACTGCTGGGCTCCTGAAAAACGTAGGAGAATATTGACAATTTGCAGCAGAGTTTCCGCAGAAGTGGGAAATACGCTGATCTGATGCGAAACTACAGTGAGGCTTAGCTGAACAACGCAGCCTGATTTCAAATCACGGAGCCTGAACCTTGATCACTGAAGCCCTCGGGCCTCTGAGCTGCTTGTGTTGTGCCCCTTGGGTTACCCTCTGTTTCAGAACCTTCCCGACTTCTTCCACCTCTACAGCTGGGACAAATCTCTTCCCTTTCCATGCAGGTGAAATAACCTCTGGGTTATCACAAGGAAGAAGGAAATATCAGAGGACTCATTCTTACTCCTGAAGTGGTGAAAAGAAATAGAATTAAGGTACCCTACCACAGTCTGTTCATGTTCCTCGTGAAGGAACGCTACTGGCTTTTGAAGTGACAGGGAGGCTACCAGGCCTGCTTGTAGAGTAGCCTTCACTGGCTGCTATTCAGCAGGGTGGAGAGAACTGGAAAAGGTTGCTACTGAAGTGTTTTCACTCGCATAGGAGGTGACAGTAACTGAGAAGGCTAGAGACTGACTTCTATCTCCTGCTGCCCCATAGTCCATACCTGGTTTGTCACTCCAGTTCTCCAGTATTACTCTGTCTTTCTCCATTCAGACTCATTCCATGCCCTTCTCATACTCTTCTCCTTCCCCTTCTTACCCTTATTCCCTTCCTTTAGTGTCCCCTCTCCTGCTGTCTTTCTAATTCTCTTCCATCCTGAGCACCACCTGAAAAATGAAATTGCCCTTGCACCTTCCAAAATAACCAAGAAAAATTATGAAACTAAAACTGCTTACGGGTGTCACTGTTCTCTATTATATGCTACAGTCCTGACCTCTGTTGCCTTTCTGTCACTCTTCTATTTTGATTTTGCAGTTTTGTGAGAAGAAACTGTGTTTTATGTCATACGCGTCTACCAAACTAGGGCAACAGTATCAGTGGATCTCTCAACAACACAAAAGAAACAAACCTACACAGACGTAAGTAGAGACAAATGGAAAACTATGTTCCTTGTTTTGAACATGTCTTTTAAGAGTGATATACGTAAACACGCAGGCACACACACATAGACATGTATTTCTTCTTTTTACTATATCCTAAGTGTAGATTTCTTTTTCTTCACTTTAGCAATGAAGTCCATGGAACATACCTTCACCAATGGATTAATAACACCAACATTAGGGCTTGCATTAAACATTTTGTTGTAGCTAGTCTCCCTGTTAACTAGCTCCAGCTGATAGAACTTTTTGTCCTCCTAAAAAGAAGAACAAATAGAAACTTCTTTTTATGCATTTTCAATCAGTTATTGGCCAAATCTGCCTATAAAATGATACCGAATAAATTTATGCTTCTAAAGAAACTGGTAATTCTAAAAATTGCATTTCATATTTAATATATTTTATATATTACTATATGTAAATAGTAACTCATTTCTATTTATGCAGTTCTGTTGCAGTTCTATGCTCCTGAGAGTGAGCATAGCCTAATGGATTGTGCACAGGGAAAGACTCAGTATAGTTAACTTCCGATCTCTAATTAATTTGAATTTCCTCATTCCTTCTTGCCTCTGAATCAGGATCTAATCAGACTAATCTGAATCAGGGTGTTGTGCTCTGAATTTGGGAAGCTCAGTGGATCAGGAAATTGGTCTCAGAAACCTCATAGAAGAGACTATTTCTTATATGGCTTACATGGCTGGCTTATTCAGGATTGGAGATAGGAGATGCCTGATCAAGGTCATACTGAAATATTTTTTGTAATAATGTATTATGCCTGATTGTACAAAACTCTCTCTATCTAATTAGTTTTACTATTATGAGTCATTGGAACCACAGGAATAATGTGTTAAAGAATATGAATAACATGCTAGCAGGATTGGTTCTTTAAATACATTTCAAAGTCTTTGAATTAGATTAACTTTTATATCTGTCAAGATATTAAACCAAGAGAGCATAAAAGTCTTACAATCAGTTTCTTTATGAGTTGGTCCCGCTCTGCAATTAGGTCTTTCAGTTCTGAGATGAGCTGCAAGTCTTCTGGTCTTGATTCTCTGTTTTTATATTTTTCTTCCATTTCTTCTAAACTTTATAGGAAAGAAGAATACCCCCTTTAGCCTGATCCAGTGTTAAATGATGAGTGAACAGTCACATCTTTGATTAGTGCAAAAGAGGGTTCAGGGAGTAAAAACAGAAGATGACTTTCTTATCACCTTGAAGTAAATTAATTTCTATGCTATCATTCAGCTTTAGCTAGTTAACAAAAAAACAACAACAATAACCATAAGCTTTGCTCCAGTAACTAATAATCTGGGCAAAATTCTAAAAACTTAATATCCTTCATGTGCATGCAGTACTAGGTGTTTGAAAAAAGCCCCTTGGAAGGCAAACTGAAAATAAGGCATTCAGAGCCATAATATGGACAGTAGAATTACAGAAGACATAGCTAAGATTGATTCTTATGTAAAATACAGGGATTACATTGCATTATACTTAATATTAACGTAAATTTTAAAAACTGGCAATTCACTTTCTTGATGAGGAAAACAAACAGTATCATTGTTCTTTTTATAGATAACTACTCTGAATAAAGATGCATGCTTGTGATACTGGAGAAACTGGATAGACAGACAAGGCTGGCACCGTCTTCCTCAGTTGTTGTGGAACATACTGGGACAAAGATATCCAAGAACAGTGAAGACTAATAGGTAACTAATTCCTTTCCACAAAAGCAACTTAGTACCATTAGAGATGAAATAAAGGAATGAGCTGGAAAAGAAAAGCAATAACACTTCGATATTAGGATATCTGGATTAAGAGAAATGTAACAACTGATAAACATTTGAAAAAATAGAAGGAAATTTGAAATGCCTGGTGGGAAAGCATTAAAGGAGAGAAGTGAAATAAGCCAACTGAGAGAGGAATTGTACAAGTAACTGCATAAATCTCCTTGATTTTTCTTAAAGAAAAAGTTTTGAAGACACGACAATTTCAAATGACTGTGTCCCTCTGAACATAAATGTAATGCTCATGATGCTAACGTTGTTCCAAAGGAAACTACTAAAATACTTGTCTCACATATTCAGCCCTCATGTAGATTAGCGAACCAAGCTTCAGAACAGATTCAGGAGATTTAACTAACTTAATGAAAAAAAAATCCTGAACAAACCCTGAGAAAAATCTATGAATTTAAGGTGTCTAAGTCAGCTCAAACTTAATTCCACGAGACACCTGGAAATAGACATAATTTCTCACTTTAGATAAATATTTTCCCTTCAGAAGCAGCTATTTGATTTTTACTTTGAGTTGCATCAGTTCATACTAAATTATATTTATAACCTTCAAATAACCTGTACATAATCTGAGGAGATTATATAATGTATTTACATAAAACATTATGAATGTGAACAACATGACTTTTTATTTGCAGAAAAGGCATTTGACTCAGCAGAACAGAAATATGCTCAGATGGCTTAATTTTTGTGTATACATTTTATGCTGGGTTAAGCTATTGTATACAGATCCCCAGAGTATAGTACACAGTTATGCACAGCTGTCATTTTATTTTCAGATATTTCAGAGAACTGTTTTTTTTTTTTCTGTTTCAAAGAGATATGTAATTTAAAGACTCTAGTTGTAGAGCCTAATTAATGATACCCACTCTGGATTACTCTAAAATAGATTCTCCATTCCATAAACGTTCACAAGGCCATGCTTTAGGTGAGGCCAAACCTGGAAACAGTTACTTAAGAAATAGCTGCATAAAACTCTTCTGCCTTTTTTTTTTTTTTACATAGTTTCCTCTTTTGACAGCTCCTTGCTTCAGTGTAAGTAGAGAGAAATAACACACTGAAAGCCAGGTCAGGGCACCTTGGATAATGTTTGCTGTCTTTAGGTCAGTGGCTGCTTCCTTGCAGCTCTGAGTTGAGCAAGAACCAGGAGTAGGGAACCAACTAAATTCAGAAAATTTCAGGACACTGAAGAACAAACAACTTCATGGGAGAAAAAGTTAGGGTAAACAGTTCCAAAACCCAGTTCTGGTGGCTGCACACAGGCACGCTTCTCATACAACATAAATGCAGTAAACAGGAGGTAGTTTACACCTAATTTACTGAATGGCAAGTTACCACATTTTTCAGGGCACAAGAGTGTGCAATATGGACGATTACAAGGGAGTAAGAACTAGAATTTTATACCCATCTTATTTGAAGACAATTTCTGAGTGCTCATTATCAAGAAAGAATTAGATGCATTTGGGCTTTATTGTCCATTTTTAATTGATATTTACTTAACAAAGTTTTCTATCATATACTTAGAACCAAGTATTTTCTCTGCCATAAATCTTTTGTGCTGCAAATACAAATCCCTCAGTGACAACTTTGTGTCAGGAAGCCTTCAATGCACTATGAAACCTCAGCCAGAAACCCTGACCAAATGGGTTAGATCACAGACAGAGATAAAGAACGAAGGACGTGGAAGACAGGAAAACACTGGCTAGACGACACACTACTACACCACTTCTGCCCAGAGGTGGTCTAACCCCAGGTGGCATTTTGACTCAGAGACAGTCTAAGCATTCTGTTCTTGTTATGCTCATATAATCCATTTCAGACACTAATTTTCCTTATGTTAGCAAACCTGCAAATGTTTGCATCATTCATGTGCTATAATCATGCTTCTTAATAGCAAGTATTGTACTGTTTATAAACCAGTTGAAGAAACTCTTGTCTTCTCAAAAAAGATGTATTAAAGTTTGAGAAAAAAACATTTGAAATAATGTTTTCTGCAGTTTTCTATGAACTGCACAGATTTAATATCTTTCCTACTTGAAATTTTTTGGTCTCAAATCCCTAACAATTATCTCACTAAATTCCCCTAAAGCTTATAGAATTGTGTTGCCTAAAGAATGCAAGATTAGGCCCCATACTTGATTGAGGTTTTTGCACATTTGCATCTCTGCAATATCTTCAGCAACTTACTGACACCAGAATAAACTATTCACTCAAACACAGCTACATATAAATTTTTTAACGCAACAAAACTTACGAAATTTGTAAAGCTGAATTAATTTCCTTGAGCAGCTCTTGGGTCTTATTAAAATCTGCCAGCATGCTTTGTTTCTCTCTGATGTGATCTGCTGTCAAGACATCCAGCTCTTTCTCATGTTTCTTGCTTAAATCTTGCTCATGCACCCTGTTCAATTTAGTTTTTGTTAAAAAAAGAGTTATTCTAAAATGAGACTCGTTTGTTCATCATGATTTTCTGCCATGCTTCTAATGGCTTTTACACAATATCAGATAACACAGAAGGAATTACTGATTCATCAAAACCCACTACTTACTGTCCTCCAATCTTCTAGCTTATTTCATGGAAAATGCATCTCCTTTAATGCTTTTTAAAATAAACATAATGAATAAAAAAAAAACCAACACCAAAACCCAACATTGAATGGACTGTTACTAAAATATGCCAAAATGTATCACTGAAATGACACTTAACTGTATAGTAATATTCACTAACTTTACAAGTAATGGGCATAGCTTTTCCTAAAGAAGACTAAGTGACTTATATCATCACTTGATTAAGAGGACAAATTAAAAGCTGCAAATGGTAAAATTTCTTAAGTAAAACAATACGTGAAACAATACACATTTGAATTTAGAGTGGAAAAATTCATACCTGATCTGTTGGTTGGATTCACTGCGTATTCTAAGAACTTCTTTCCCTTTAAACTCTAATTCCTTGGTCAATGCACTTATATTTTCATGAAGATGCAGAATCTCTTTGTCCAGTTCAGCTATATGATGGTCTCGGTGTCTCAGTTCATCTTGTAGATCTGATATTCGGCATAAAAATTCTTTCTCCTATGATATAAGCAGCAGCAACAGAAAGTATTTTAGACTTGTCTCTCAGAAGCACAATACTTGCTTTTGGAAGATAACAGCTGAGCAGAATTTTCTACTCAATAGACAATATTTTTCAGTTTTTGATGCTGACACAAATTATAATTAAAACTGAGAGGTTTTTTATTGCGTACAAGTACAAATAAAGAAAAAAGCGAAGTTATGTAACAGTTTCCATTTGCGAGAAAATTTAAAACCTATGATTGTCATTGCCTGTTAAAGTTTGCACAGCTCATTGCATTTGCCTTTTGCCCGCACATACAACAAAAAAACAGATACCGCTAAGAACCAGGGGGGTGGGCATTTAGCATTTTCTACCTTGCCAACATACGATATAGAGAAACTTTTTCCCTTTACAACCCCATACAATGGGACAAAATAGCTCAAGATGTATGCCCTGCACCAATGAACACTATGATTCAGAAGTCTCCTATCTTTTTTATATATATATATATATATAAAAATATAAGGCTCATAAATATCTCACAGCAGAATATGTGGTCAATAGTTTATATAATATTTATATTCTGTCCCGTGAATCAATAAAAGTCATTCTTTTTCCATAAGAAATTGCAATGAAGTTAACATCTGGGAAACTCATCTGAAACCCATCTCAATGGTTTTGATGCTGATTCTCCTCAGTATAGAAAAAGTCTGTAATAAAATCAACCTTTTTCAGAGTTTTCCATTTCCATCTGTTCCACTTCTTACAGTTTCACAATAATTAATGACCATATAGTTTGCACAGATAGAAAATCAGCAGGTATTTCGAAGTAGTTTTATGTATAATTGTGTTTTGTGCCTTCACGCATTCAGGAAATACAAATATATATGACATCTTTAAGAACAGACTTTTAAAAATTACTCTTTACCTCCCTATAGAAAGAGTATATTAAAGTTATAAGAAAAAGCAATGCAAAATTTATATCTACATATTTAAATATTTCAAAAAGTAGCAAATATAATCGTCCTGCTCAGACCTCTGTGCATCTAGTTCAGCTCTGATCCTGTGAACTGATGAGCATTCTATTACAGGAAAACACAATTAATTCCTTTGCCCTCAGTACAACTAAAGCTCTTGCTTAGCAGATCCTTGTACTCAGGCCAAGAGTACAGGGCATTTGGTTGGATCATACACTGGCTCTTGTAATTTAAACTTGTTTTCCTGACATCTCCTTTAGGTGTCTCACTCTAGGCTTAAAAAACACACGACTGAAACTATATCCTCCTAAATCCTGCATGTTTTCGTTCACTGCTGACAGCACCACATTTTTGCCTCTAGTGCTCACACTTTTAAACCAGCAAGGAAGAGAAAAAGAAGGGCTCATCTTTGACTGTCTCTCTTTTTGTGCATAAAGGCTCTGTCCAACTAAACCTGTTTCTTCTGTTAATAAATTTCTAAAACGGCTCTACCTCCTTGGTGCTGGACTATCAGTAAATCAATCCTGAAAAGCCTGTTGTATAGGCAAATAAAGAAGTAATTTTCTGGTCCTCTTATTTCCAGGAGTCTGGCTTCCTTTCAGTAGAGATCAAGCTTTAAATTTTTAGTTGCTACTGGAAAAACTGATTGAGTATAAAGTGAAAAATGAAAAAGTGAATGAATCAGTATGCTGCTGAAAGCAAAGGTAGTCCATACTGGTTTTGGGATTTGGGGGTTTGTTTTGTTTGTTTTTTTTTGTTGTTTGTTTTGGGTGTGTTTTTTTTTAAGAAACACTTGCAAGCTGTTACTGTCTTCTCTGCTTTCTTTAGATGCTAACTTATCTCTTCCAATTTGGCTCCTGAATAAAAAAGATACTAAGCTACCTCTTAAGTTTGAAGCAATCATTTGGTGTTAAGCAGTCACTCCTTAGCCATACCACTTATGCTTCGGAGAGAAACAGCTTTTTCCTTTTTAAGTCCTGCTAGCAGCTGAGGACGAGTAGAATTTTGTGAGAATTGGCACTTTCCTCCCACAGCAAGCCAGTGTGCTCCCAGACAGCTGCACAATTCTGAGAGGAAACTGCCTTGATACGGGAGCCTTTACTAGATTTTGAAGGAAGTTTGTTGGGAAGAAAAAGCTAAGCAAGGAACTTTAGGTAAACTGGTAGGGATGCATGATCTGCTGGTGCTGGCTGACTTCGAAGGATTACATGTTTGTTGTTTGTTCACAACAGTTCTTGCCTCCAGCTAAGAGAAAACGAATACTGATTATGCAATTTTACAGTCAGTTGCCAGCAATGCCTCCTACCTGTCGCCTGCCGAGTTCTATGCTTCTTTCAAGCTCCATTTTGGCAGCTACCAGTTCTTGTTGATGGTTGTGCCTTAGCTGGTCAATGGCTGCTGCATGTTGATGATTTAGCTCTGAGCGCAAGGAAGCTAGTTAGCATGAACAAAAAGAAAAGTTGATTTTGCAAATGTTTACATTAATGAACAATAACAGTCCAGCTCCATCAAGTATTGCTGCTGACCTAACACACACTGTTTACATCAGCTAAGCAACTGTCCTGTCATTCTATTCCTGTTGCCTTCTGAAACGTTCTCCATCATGAAATTTGGTTGCTTACTCCTTCCAAAAAAACTGAAGGGTAAGATTCTTCAAAAGGGAACAGTTTGGGCTTACTTATTAAAGCTTATACTAATTTTAAGATGAACATCTAGGTCAACACTGAGTGACTCTGAGATACACTACAGTGTTATAATACACACACACGTACATACATATATGTGCATGTATATTTGTATGAGTAGAAATAATGGTTTTGGACCCACTTGCAGATTTCAAAATAGTATACCTAACATAGCTTTTCCTTCATCCTCCAGCTCAAATCGTAGAGTCTGAAGCTCCTGTTCCATCTCCAGTTTGAAACCTTCCATGGCTTGTTTATGTGTTTCTTTCAGCGCCTGAAGTTCTTCTGAGTGCTTCTGTTGTAAACGTTCTTCTAATTCCTATGAAATCAAAGTTGACAAAACTTATTCTATACCAGCTTAGGGGACTTATAAAATATTAAACAATAAACAACTGGCAACAAAAAGCAGGCACTGGCATACTCTAGAAATTATTAAAAATGCACTAATATTGTTCATGTTTTCTTCTCTCACTAAGTTATCCTACTGCTATATTTTTTCTTTTCAGTGGCTGATGGTTGTCAAGATTACCTGTGCACAAAAACTCTGTTCTGCTCACAGTTCGAAAAGAGAAAAAAAAACAACCTATGGATATATTTAAAATAGCAAGCAATGTGATAAGGTGCAGATCCATAGATGGGTCTAGTGTGCACGCGATACACATTTGGGGATTCTTGCTCCCCACTGACACCCATGTTTATTCCCTATTGAAGTGTATGAAGCATAATGTTCCTGGTGCACATCTTCTAGTTTCATTTCGAACAAAAGGAATCCACCTTGTGCGCTCCAAGACCAGTCTATGATGTGAACCAAAGTACATGAAGTGGGGACAATGGGAAAATGGATTGCAAAGGGACACTCGAGATCTGAACTTAAAAAAAACCTTAAGACACATACCCTATTAAGTACCACGCACTGCCAAAATTTCAATTTTAATGCTTGTTTAGTCAAGGTTTTAAAAAAATATCTTGGTTGTGACATTGTTCTGGACATGAAAATTATCTTGCAAGTTGCAGAGCATAGTTTATACAATTTTTAACATAATGAAAATATAAAATACATTACGAAAGGAGTCAATTGACGACAAATATCAGAAAACACGTGAAATTAGGTAACTATAATGGAAAATACAGAGAAACCTATTCAAAATCAAAACTAGAATATAAAATGTTATGGATAACAATGTCAAACTACTGTAAAGAAATGTGTGTGTTGATAATAATTTTACAAATATACGTACCTATATATGCATATATTGGTAGAGTATAAAGCAAGACATGAAACAATGCCTGTATTAGAGATGATTTTCAGTATGTCTTAATCAGATTTAACTGGATAAAAATGTTACTATAAGACATCAGCTGGAAAGGAAATCTAGTAGTTATGCAGATACTTTTCGGTACTAATTCCAGCTGTGTACATAAATTGCTAAAATGGCAACATTCTCTACATAATTCGGAATATCCATATGAACATGCCTTTTGTTCTTGCTCTTTTGTTTCTTCCATGTTTTGAAAGGCAAGGATATGGGCTTCCTGAAGTGACTTATGCCTTTGCTGGTGCTCCTCTTCTAATTCCTGGATCTCCTGAGTCAGCCTCTGCCGCTCCTGACTGAACTGGGCTTGTAGCTGTTGCAAAGAGCTCTGTGACTGGGAAAGCTGCATCTCCAGATTCTGCTTCAGTAAGGAGATCTAACCCACAACAGAACAGCAAATATCCATTAGTCATTAATACTAACATCAACTCTGAAAAAACATTCAAAAGAAGAAAACACTTGAAATTTTAAAGCCAGAACGTTACCTAAAAGACAGACAAGCAATGTCATCCATCTACTGAATTTGTTGTTAATATTATATCTCAGAGAGATAATTACATTTAAATAGTTTTGTAAGGGTTATCACATCTGCCAGTTCATACTACAGCACTACCTATAACACAATTTTTCATGGTCGAATTATCAAATTTACTTCTGGGTTTTGTATAAAGATCAATAAAAATGACACTACCAAGGTCTGAAATCAAACACTTGATTTTTAAGATAAACTATTCTTCAGGGGAACATCACGTCAATTCTGTAAGGAAAATCCTGCAGTTGATAGGGGAGGATAGCCTGTGACATCTAGACTGATTGATTTTTGTATCTTTTGACATGATATGGTCCTATCTTACTGGCAGTTTTCTCATTTAAAAAGAAATGGTAGCATAACACTCTACATCACAAATAAAATGTTACACTTGATGGACTCCCCCCCACACACTTCTTTTTGTTAGCTCAGTAATGCTATGAGAGTGATTTTTCTGCTGGTTTTGAAGATCTAAGATCTAAGCAATCTGAGTCACAGACATTCATTTTCTTAGAAATACTTGATTTTACAAATTATGCTCTTCACCCAACAAGCATTTTAATACGTTAGAGTACATTGTACTCCTTGAAAAAGTCCCATTTTCTTTTTATAATAATGTTATACTTTGTTCTTTGCATCAGATACCATCTTTTCAGACTGAAAATACTAAACCTGTATTCCCTCTAGAGCTAAATATGAGAGAGATACCCTCCAATTCTGGAAACAAGATTTAACCAAAAGAGAATTTTGCTACAGTGACTCAAAGGAAGGAAAAATAAAATTGCCACGTGACAAAGAATTTGAACCAGTAAGGATACTTTTCAAGCCTCGGAGCGTTACATATAATTGAATTACAAATGAAAGTCTGATAGTGTCATTTGATTCAGCATATCTTAAAATTAATTACGACAAATTAATAATGACATTGCACATCAATTTATTGATTTACAGAACATTAAAACCCACCACTTAACAAAAAATTAATAGCAGCATACCAAGGACAACTTGCAGCATGAACATTATTGTTGAACATGTGGAGCTTTTTTTTTTTTTTTTTCAGAAGGACACAGCTTAAGCAGATTTGAAAAAAAGCTACACTTAAAGGAAAATTAGCACTAAAACAAAACAAGCAAATTAATTTGAATGAAATGAGCATGGCTCGCTGCATTTCAAATTCACCAGGTCTTTATGTCTGGGCGTACATGCTCTACCTTCTAAGTATACTGTATCAACAGTATTTTACTTCAGATACCTTTGAAACAGATTAGCTACAATTGAAGGAGTATAGCGAAGGCCTATACTACATTCTGTAGTCTGAACTATACATGTAAAACCTTTTACAAAGTACATTAAATAGAAATATCAGATACAAATTGTACAGTGTCAGACCAATGGTTTGTCTAATCTCCTGTTCTGCCCCAAGAATGGCCAACTCGGGTTACCCACAGAAAACAAGGCCAAGGCATAAATGTAGGGATCTTGACTCCGAAGTCTACCAGCATCCAGCAGTCTTTCTTAAACCAGAAGAGGTCTTTTGGGGCAAATTCATGGAAGAAATACTAATTAAATACAACCACTGTCTGAATCCATAAAAGCTTTTAGTGTCCACAATATCCTGTGGCAAGTCCCATACAGATATGCCAATTTGACATGATGACTTCTAATACTTGTAATGGAAAGGAGTCAAAAGAAGTTCCCTTTTCATTTACTCTATTCTACTCATGTTTCCATAGATCTCCATCACTTCCCTCCTTACACCCTTTTCCATACTAAACAGTTTTGGCTTAATGAGTCACTCCTTGTATGAAAGCTATTTCATATCTGTCATCACATTTCTCCTACTTTTGCCCATTTTCTACTATTTCTTTTTAAGATTAGGAGACCAAGACCGCATAAGGTATTTAAAATGAGAGTAAACTCTGGTTTTATATAGTGGTTTATATGGTTTTACACGTGATGTTCTCTGTTTCTCTCCTATATTCTTACTGTTTTATTTGCTTTTGTGACTCCTGCCGAGCACTGAGGTGATGTTTTCATGGAATTATGTATCATAGTCCCCAAACCTACTCTCTAGTTGTAACAGGTCAAGGTAAGATTCATCATTTTACACAGGAAGTTAAAATTTGTTTTTGTTTCTTGTGTATCACTTTGCGTTTATCTACACTGAATTTCATCCGCCATACTATTGCAAAATCCCTTGTCTTTTTACAGCTATTCTATAATTCTTCAGACACTCTTTGTCCTTCCCACCTTGAGTGACTTTTTATAAGCTGCAAACCTTTCCACCTTACTTATTCATAAACACCCTGCAAAAGAAAATATGTTGAATATCAGTGCAACTCCACTGATAATCTACATTCCCTCTGGTAACACCGTATTTAATACCTATCTTTCAATGAGTTTATCTATAAAAAAACTTCCCTCTCATATAAGAGAGTTCTAGTTTCCCCAGAAGCCCCAGAATTTCTCGGCCGATCTCTTTCAGCATACCATGGCCAGGGCTGCCATGCTGGTCAGACAAACCAATAACGCAACCACGTGTTGTATTCTTTCTCTTCAACCCTAGAAACTCACTCCACTGATGCGGTTTGCACCATGCAACTCCAGCATGGCCAGCCCTGAGTTTTCATCTCAGTGTCACCAACTGATATTGCAATGTGCTATTGTCTTCCTTCTCCAGGAGAAAAAAAAAAAAAAAAAAAAAAAAAATCTATCTTATCTAAACTCCCCTTTGACCTACTCACATCCCCACGTGCTCTAATTCATCCCATGTTCACTGCTGGGCTCTTCTCTCCTTCCCCACCTTTCTGTAGCCTCATACCTGCCTGGGTCCCTCTTTTCACCTGTAAGCCTTGCCTTTAGTTACTGTTTCTCTGCCAGACTACACCTAGCGAAAACCAGACCCTGGCTAGAGGTCTGGTTTCCCCCTGTGCTTTTAGGTAACTCTTAGGCTTCTTTAGATTACCTCTGCTCCTGTTTAACCACCATCCATAAACTCTCAGGTTTGTTGGGTTTTTTTTGTTTGTTTCCCCGAGACCACTACTGTGACTTGGCTCTAGCCCCTCTACTCCTTGTCTTCCATCCATCCCATACTCCAGTATTTCTCACCCTCCTCCTCTCCTCCTTTACTCTTTTTCCTAACTCCATTTTTAGTGTCATAGGAATGTGCAGTTAGGATAGTCTTAAGAGATCATGCAGTCCCAATTCTTTGCACTAGGTGGGAACTCTATACACAAATTACTGCTTTGAAATCTCATATGAAGGAAATCCCACATTTTTCACGCAGATCCTCTTCCTCCTTCTCTGAGTGCCTGTGGCAGAAACACTGAGATACTGGACAGATGTTCTGTCCACTTTTACTTGTTCCTTCCACCATGTTTCTGTCCCTCAGGTTTCTCACCATCGCCCTGTCCCGTTCACCATGGCCACCAGGAGGTACAATTCTAGGGGAAGTCCTGCTCAGTCCTGCAGAACCTCAGGTAATTTTGTCATCGTACTCTAAAAAGCCTTTCATGATGATGTTCAAATGGTGGCCACCACGGTATCTTAGCAAAATTTTTATTAAGATGACATGAAAAAATGTATTTTTGGCTTGAAGTTAAATCTGTCTCGCACTTAAGTTCCTGCTCCAAATTCTGATAATTCTCAGTATATCATTTATAAACATTTTTAGCGTGGGCCAAGGGCAAAACAATTGTCTTTTAATTTCTTTCTTGGAAATGCAGATAACATTGTAACTGAGATGACCAAGAGAAGTCTGACATCTGGCCAGGAAGCCATCTCAGAAGAAAGCAGAAATACCCTTCTCAAGAGCAGTTCACACTTCCACCAGATTAAAGTGACTGCAAAACCACAGCCTGAAATGAGTCAATCTCTGGAGATGCCTGTTTGCAGGAATAGGCTATAGAGAAAATAAAGCACAATGAGGATTAAATGATTCTAACAAGCAAGTCAGATTAGTCTACCCTTCTAATAATAAGGTGGGTTTTTTTTTGTTGAAAGTACTTCAAATATTAAACACCTAACAGTTATTTTTAGAAGAGTACATAATTTTAAACATTATTTTGATTAGTCAATACGTATACTGATATCCTTAAGAGCACATTTTTGAAAACCTTAGTGCCTCCTTTTGCATGTCTTTGGAGCATCCCTTCTATATACTCCTGTATTGAGGATTCAAAAGAAAACAGCTCTAAACACTATTCTCTGTACTTTCAATACTTTTGTCCAAGGTTTTCAGCACATTAAAAACATTGGTAAGAATTTTAAAAATAAAAAAATGGGAAGAAAGAATATTTTGGCTGCAATTACGACTTGCACTGCAAAACTGCAAATTATAATACAGCATCAATCTCATGCTTTGTAGAAAGCTCGGCGATACACATTTGCACTGCCCACAAGCTTGCTTGCTTTAACAATGACATAAAAATGCTGCTTATATTATGACCATGTACGTAGTGTTTGATGTCCAGTGATACATACATTTACACAGACGAATGCATGCAGCACACGAGCTTTTGATAACTAGCGGCAAACGTTCTCCTCTCAAATAGTACCATGTCTTCTATTTCATAGGCTAAAGCTCTAAAGCAGTACTAGAGGATATGCAGATTTATTAGCGCAAACATGCCCTCCGCACAAGCTGTAAGTGCAAATCACTTACATTGCTGATAGATTTATGCAAAGCTTCACCGAGACAGTGCCGCTATGAAGAAAAGATCACAGGAATAAAGGGAAACATTCAGAAATCAACTAAGTAAAAGAAAAAGGGATAAAGAAGGGAGAGTAAAACATAGAACATTAATTATAATTTGTTCAGGGAAAAATAAGTTGAAAACTAGCTGGAA